AGCCAAACAGCTTGTTATAGGTCATCGGGATTCATATCAGAATGGTAAAAGTGGAGAAAATCACACAAAATAATTATTAAAATAATCTGCTATTGTCCTGCTATTATCCTCACAAGGCAAAATCAGTTTTTTTCATGTGAATATTTTTATGGGAATTCAATTTTTTTTAAACAATTCCTCTTTCTTCTTACAATATGCCAAAAAGCATTTGATATTTCAGACAGTATTTTGTCAAAAGTTGGATTAGAGTTCTTCACCAACAGAATTTCTGCAGTTCCCAAAAAACAACAATCAAACAAAAATTACAGTTGCAAGAAAAGCTTGTGGATCCTTAATCTATATTTCTATATGAATGGATTCCACCACAAATTAAACACCTCTGCAATTCCGGAGCTTCACATCAGTTGGCGTAGTCGTGTTTTAGACAAGAAAAAATCTTTGAAATAAATTTATTATATACTCATCTTGGTCAGGCAGAAAGCACAGATCCTATTTACTTAATAGGGGGAAAAGTCTGAAACGGTTTGTCAGTTGTAAAATTGTGCTACTCTTCCTTAATTTGTAATTTATTTACATATAATTCTAATATAAAATAAATATAAAATACAATAAACAATCTATATATTATCCAAAAAAAAGGCAGTGTTAAAATATTTTAAAACCAAAACCTTTATAATTTTTATATACTTATTTTAGTCTGGTCCAGCTGATGTCCAGTTTACATGCCTCTTTATAGATTTGAACACATGCAAGTTTTGATTAAAGTAACTTTTAGTTGTGAACATGATTTTGAATCTGTGTTAAGTGACAAATGGCATGCCATTGGATTGACTTTTGTTTAATGTGCATTTCTTCCAAAAGCCAGTCTTGAGCTCGGAAAATATCTCGTAGATTTTTTTTGAGCAGCAACTGAAAAAGTTTTTTTTTTCTTCTATCCAATTACTGAGGACATTTCAGCACACACAAGTAGTAACGGTGGAGATTCTCCCTGCATTTAACCTCATCACACAAGATGAATTCGACTAAAAAAATCACTGCAGGTGTCGACCTGATGGTATAAATCATGATTGCTGTGTGAATTGAGGCCAAACTGCCGAGGGTGAAGATGAGAGAACAGTGTTGTGAGAGACTGACATGTGTATCGCAAGACTCCTGGTTAATCTGCTTTAACAATAATAGCCTTCCTCAGTTATTTCTGGAACCATCTCTGTCCTATCTGTCCAAAAGCTTCACTTTGCTCTCATTTAAATACTGTTTCTTGCCATTTGATATCGATATAAACTCAGGACTGTCCACATTGTTTCACCCTTCTGTGCTGCAGCATCAGCTTACATTGCATTGATCTGTGCTTTGACTTTCCATGATAAAAAATAAAAGTAAAAGCTGATGCCACAGCTGGTATCTAAAAACGTGGTTATTATTCATTTTTAATGAAAAGCGAATTAAGTGCCCCCCCGTCTAAAAAAAGGCAAATATAAATGCCACAGAACGTTATTATTATTATTATTCAACAATGGTGCATTAAATTGATTAAAAGTGACAGAAAACACATTTATAATGTTACAAGATTTCAAATCAATAGTGTTCTAATTATTAATGATCTCAAATCGAACAGTGTTCTTCAAATTGTCTGTCTATCAAAGAATCCTAAAAACAAATTAATATTTTAATTGTACGTTTGATTAAATAAATGCAGCCTTGGTGAGCTTAAGAGACTCTTTCAAAAACATGAATAAACTTACCTACCCTAAATTTATATGTTGGTTTCATTACTTCAGTTACCGCTTTCTGTGCATTCACATGCCTTTTCTTTGGCTCCCATTTTTCCCTTTCATTCCAGAATAATCTTTTCCTAAAAATATCTTTACTGGTCACAGTCGATGGCTGACATTTCAGCTTATTAACCACCTGGCAATGTGCCACAATCAACAGGGTCTCAGCAACCCACCTCAACCCTGGTGACAAAAACAACACCCGCACAAACAACAAACAACAACAACAACTAGACAGAGAGAGTGCAGCCCAATTACTGGACTTGATGGAGAGCAGGGGAGACCGAGGTCAGAGATAATATGAATAAGTGCCAAGAAATAAGATGAGCGAAAGATGAGATATACAGTAGTTTAGAGAAAAAAAAATGGTATGATGTAAAAATCAACCTTTTGCAGATAAATTAAATACATTAGCAGCTAAAGCAGTGTCAATTGAGGTGATGTTAGCACAGGAAGTGTTTTTTTGCCCCTGAGCAAACGCATGAAAACAGCACCAGAAACCACACAACCTTGAGTCCATTTATCATTCATCTATTCTGGCGTAATGCTACTTTCAAAAGCACACATCTAAAAGCTGAGATAAAAATAATAACAAATAAAAAAGGTCAAATAACAACAGTCTCATCAAACATTTATTTGACGCAGCCAATCATCATCATGATATGCAAATGACATCCTTTCACCTGTGGTAAGACACAAAGTTAACAGAGGACTTGGATTCCTGAACCCTGCCTGTTTTCCCAGACTTTCACTTTCAAATATCAGGTTTAAAATCATGCTTCTTCAACAACGAAGCATGTCCAGTGATTTAAATAAATAAATCAATAATTTATTGGTCTATACCATAAAATATTAATTATTATATTTTACAAACTATGATCTACACAAAGTTAAATCATAATTCATTCAATATATTGTGTGAATTTGTGTAAAATTATGACTGTACCTTGCTGGTGTAATTCCACCACAACGTTTTCTTTTCCCCAAAAAACATTCATTCATTTATTTGAAAAGTTAGTGTGCTTGTTTACTGAACTGACACAACAGTGTCACACAATGTGTGAAGGAAATAAAAATCATGAAACATATCACTTATGAGCAAAATATTTATTTTTCTAAATTAATATATGATACCAGTGGCGGCTCGTCGGGGGAGGCAGGGGAAGCACAGCTTCTCTATAATTTTGAGGTGGAAATGGAAGGAGGACGATTTAATGTTAATAAAATTCACAATTCATTTCAGTTCATGTCTCAGAATGTGTATTTTTTGTTTGTGATTTCACAGTTGTAATACCATAACGTGAAAGCGCCGCTTTTGATGACAGATTTTTAATGACAGAGAAGGGTAGGGGGAGGCCGGGGGAGAGGCGAGCTCTCGTGCCTCCGTTGGTAAAAAGAATTAGCCAATCACCATCGAGTGTTCACTTTCAGCTCTGAGGGGTGTTGCGAAAAGAACCCTGGCAAGGGAGGCTAGCCTCCCTTCTGATATCAACCAATCATCAAAGAGACGTAAATTACATGATATTCGTTTGAACGTCTGCCGCTGCGCTGATAATGTACCAAGTACTTATGACTGTTGGACATTGTTATACTACCAACTATTGTTTATTTTCTAAAAGTCTACAGGGCCAACAGTGCCCATATTTTAAGAAACACCCAGACACATTTACCAAACACCAAACATGAGTGCAATGAAATACTCATATAGAGACACACACACACACACACACACACACACACACACAAATAATGCTTTCTTCATCATACTCTCCTTCCTCATCATTATTTATATTTTCTCCACTAGTCCTTCAGACCCTCTTTTTATGCTTCAGTGGCTGATACCCAGAATCTCAGTCTAATTTTTGGCTAAATTCCCAAGCCAATCGTTGAAGGCCATTTCCTGACTCCTGTCATAATAGCTGCTTCCACAAAAACACATCTGAATTACTCAGCTGCCTGAAGCCAGCTTAACAAATCCCACAGAAGAAAACACACAAAGGATACTGTTCTGACAGCCAGTTCTTTACCACAGAACATTCTAGAGAAAATCATATTCATGTGACTCCTATGCTTCACTACAGGCTTGAGATCTTAAAAGAACAGTTTACCCAAAATTGACAGTTCTGACATTGTTGTATGAAAATATGCATTCTACAAAATGTCTTCTTTTCTGTCTATAAAGAAATTATACAGATGTGCTCATTTTCATTTTTAGGTGAATACGCTTGATACACAGCCACATTTTGGAAGTAAACCTCATCCTCTCTATCTCTCAAACTACTGATGTCAGGCTACAGCCCTCAGCTCCCCTTCCCAAGCGACTTCCATCTCTCAGGCTGCCTGCTGAGCTGGGAACTAGGAAAACAAGCAGAAGCTTCAACTGCACTGAGACATGAGTGACGTGAGAGAGAGAAAAACAGACAGCAAATTTTGTATTTTTGAGACACTGCACTAAATGTGCCTCTGATATTTCAAACAACAATAGCTTAAAAAAGACAATGTAAAATTTCTTCCCCTGAGAAATCAAAGCTTTACTGAAATACTTCTTCTAAATTAAGAGCTCTATTTAGATCCTCAAGGACAAGCACTGTTGTTGTCATCATGTTCATCCCACTCCTACAGAGTAAAAATCTGTAAACATTATCATATTCTCATAAAAATTCTACACAGGTTATGATGGCTTTAAAGACAAAGAAGAAGCAAAGACATTGGAGGTAAGAGAGTGGAGAAAAGAGCCTCCAGGGACTGAAGACCTGTGCTGTGGGGAAACTTTAAAAAAGAGGACAGAAAAGAAAGAGAAAAACTGCAGGATGAAGGTTTGAAGGATTTTTATTATTTTAATGTGTTATTATTTTAAAGTTTTTGTCATTAAAGCTGTAATGTGTGATATTTGCACAGATAGTAGTGGAATTTCAAAAATAATGACTGTTATCAAACAGGTTTCTCAAACACTCCCCCGTCATTGTTTCCTGTGGGGAGTGGCTATTAGAGATGGGTGTGGTTGTATTGGGTAGATGTGGCCAAACAATGGGTATAGTTACCAGAACTAGGAATAGGTGTGATCAAAGGTGGTATGGCTATTTCTGATCATGAGAGGGTGTGGCTACATTAAGTAGGTGTGACCAATCATGTGTGAGGCTATCAAAAATAGAAGTATAGAAGTACACGTGATTATCAGAGGTGGTGAGGCTATCAGCGATGTCTGAGGTCATGAGTGGGTATGGTTACCTGAGGTGGGTGACTTGCTCCTCTCTAGGTCCAAAGATACCTGATTATCAGAAAGCTCCGTAAGACCTGCCATGGAGGAATATGGAAGGCACAGTAAGAGGAAGCAGATGACAATAATCACCGGGTTCCATTACCACCAAACACATTTGCATGCATCAAAACACCAGGACAAACAATGTGGTTTGAGACAATATCATGATCCTGGAGCGATGCAAGGAAGATGTATAGACATCTTCATAAAATACACAACATCTTCTGACAAGCTACTACTAAATACCGTATTGGCCCGAATATAAGCCGACCCTGATTATAAGACGACCCCCCTTTTTCCAGATGTACCTTTTGGAAAAGGGCTTTTTAAAAACCAAATCTTGTTTTTTTCTCAGTAAAACACATTGTGACTTAAATTATTTTAATATTGCATATTTTTCCTATTTTAATTTTTGTTTTGAAAGTATGGTAAAAACTAGTAAAATGTACCAACAATCACATTTAAAACATATACACATTTTGATATACCATTAAAAAAAAAAACAGGTAGCCCATCTGAATTAGGACATTTAGGCTATCCATCTAATAGTAGCCTACCAAAATCTTATTAACAGTAGAAGTTAAATCTTACTGTAGTCTTCAAATCTGGGTACTGTCTTACGTTTTAAAATCACAAAGAGAGTTTGGTCTCATCAGGCTAACGTGACAGTCACGACTCATGCAGCTGTAAGGTTTTCTTATTCTTTTGTTTTTACTTGCGATCTTTACAACACGCATTAAATTACAAATTTCATGGCACAATCGTTTTATGCGTATTTGGCGCCACCTATTGTTGTGGGTGTATTATTGACATGTCAAAGTCTAAACCCTGAAAATAAGGGTTTTTCAGATGTATTTCCAAGAAAAAAACATTGTCTTATATTCGGGTCAATACGGTATATTGTAGAAACTTAATTTTCTGTAAAGCTGCTTTGCAACGATTTGTATCGTGAAAAGCGCTATACAAATAAACTTGAATTGAATTGAATTGAATTGAATATAGTTTTTAAACTTTTAACTAGGCATATATATATATATATATTTGATA